ACTACACGTGGTACGGGACGCCGCGCTTCGACAGCCGCTACGTGCACTGGGACCACGTGATGGTGCCGCACTGGGACCCCAAGATCTCGGCCAGCTACCCCAAGGGCCGCCACAGCCCGCCCGACGACATCGGCGCCAGCTTTTACCCGGCGCTCGGGCCCTACAGCTCCCGCGACCCGGCCGTCCTGGAGGAGCACATGCACCAGCTACGCGCCGCCGCCATCGGTAACCGCGTGGGTCTGACGGGACGGGGGCGCGGCGCGGGCCGGCCAGGGCCCGCGGCGCGGAGCTGCCCGGCTCGGAGCACGAGGCTGCGGTGGCGAGCCGCTGCCCGGGCCACTGGCGGTGCGGGGGAGGGGGGCGGGCGGGCGGACGCTGCCGGCCCCGAGGCGCCGTGAGGAGGGTAGCCTGGCCGGGCGCAGGGCTGGGGGGACCCTCCGGCCGTGGCCGCGCCTTCAGCACCACGCCGGCCTGGACAGCGCCTCCCGCGCCCTTGCGGCCGGGCCCCCGCGGCCCCGGCCCGGTCGCCCACCCAGCGCGGACGGGCCTCGGAGCACGACGGGCCTGCCCTGGCCTGGGAGGCGTCGGGGAACGCCGCATTAACCTTGATCTACCTTCACAGAGACAGAAGAAGAGTTCCGTTTTCTCTGTCCTGCTAAGTGGTAGCTTCTGGCACCAGCAGAGGCTTTACATTTTTTAGATGCCTTTGGGTGGTGGGTTTTCAGCTGCCCGATTTTAGGGGTGATGGTGCATTACCGGAACCCTTATTATTTCAGGAGTCATGGCTCTATCCTGGTATCCACCTGGCCTTGCAGATGATAACGGGGAATCCTCGGAGAGCCTGGTGCCCTTCCTCTTGGACGCTGCCCATAGGCATACTATCAAGGTGCGACCACTGTTTCCACTGCTTGGAGATTTTAGGCAAGTTTTACCAGAGCTGTATCCTATTTCATGGCACTCAGTTAGGCTGCAACTCCCAGTAAACACACAAAATGTGAAGGAGAGGTGTAGCTGGAGGAAGCAGCCACACTGGCTTCAGGCAGTGGGCACCAGTTTCACCAGTTACGTCTGAACCACCTTGGCATGGGTGGAAGGAGAAACATGTCAGGGCAATGGTGGGGTTATAAAATTTTGAGAGCTGTGTCATTTGCAGATCAGAAAGCCTTCTAGGTGACTTTGGGATCAGAGTGGGTGAATGGCTTCTTTTCATAATCTTAAAATAAGTATTTGGTAAGGAAAGACTAAAGCTAGGAGACAGAATAGTTTAAGTAGGGGTGGGCAACTCATAGCTCTCCGGTTCTTTTTGCCTCCAAATCTCATGGTTTGTCACCACTGGCAATGCTGGCCAGAGCTGAGGGCTGGAGGTCAAATCATCTGGCGAAGTTGGCCACTTGAAGGATTTTAATACTGCTTTTATACCAAAAAAAAGCAGTTGCATACAAAAAACCCCTACATTAAAGTCAACATGAAGACAAACCCCTACATTAAAGTCGAAGCATTAAAATAGCAATAAAATGGCCAGTGTGCTTCCCTCAATGAGTTATATAGGACCTGGGGAGAGTCCGATTCAAGTCTCTACTTGGCCATGAAGCTCATGGGGTGATTTTGGGCCGGTCACTGACACTAGTAGACTTTGTCCTGGTCAAACAGGTTTTTGATGCGGGGGAGAAGAGGGGCTCAGGACCATGTGAGCTACCATGGTATCCTTACAAGACAGAAGAAGGTGACACATAAATGTAATAAATGACAATCATTTTAAAGGGCACATTACAGAGATGTTATCTTGCTATCTTGCCCTAAGAAAGGTGACAGCAATTCTACTTCCCAATGGAAGGCTTTTCCACAATCCAGGAGTGACAGAATCACAAGCCATTGGATGTGCCTACCAACCTGGCCTCCGTGAGCAATGGAGGCCTCAAAATAGCACCTACAGATCTCAGCAGCCAGAAAGCTTTTATAGCGCAACAGTGGTCCTTTCGAGCACCACGATGAATCCAAGCCATGCAGGACTTTAAAATACGTTGAACTGAGCCCGGGAAATACTCAGTAACCAGAGCAGAGCTTTCGGTATGAGCCATTTGACTGTGATGTTCTGCACCAGTCAGCAACCTAGTTGTGCCACAACTGGCACCAATTGAAGTTTCCAGGTGCTCTTCAGGGGGAGCACATGGCAACTGTCTTGATGTGACCAAGGCATGCATAACTATTGCCAAATCAGAGCAACTCAGAACGAGGTGGAGACGAATGGGAGTGAATTACTGCTTGAATTGCTCCCCACTATGTAATATGGCTAAGGATTCTCCACAGGTGCCCATATCATTCTTTGTCTCCACTTGGGAGTCACATATTCCTCTTCTGCAGGTCACATTCCATATACAGCCATACAAAGGACGCGATGACCACACACTGCACAAGAATGTGAGATATATCCTGGACAAGTAAGTGCACAAATGCCCCAAAGACAACCCCGAGTCTAAGTGCCAGAAAAATACAGGGTCGTGTCTTGTCTTTTGTCTCGTCTTGCCTTGGACGACAGCACCAATTCTTTTGTCTGAGGGTTAAAAGGTACAATGGCATAGATTGGAGCAGGAACTGCAGATTTAAGCCTTGCTGGTTCTTGCACAAAGACGATATTGCAGCCTTTGTGAATCCTCAAGCGTGGTGCTGGAGAGAGACTATTTCTCAACTGACCTTTTTTTAAGAGAGTGTCTCAGTGCTTCTTAGACAGCTGGTAGCTGTACACTTGATGCCACAGACAGTCCTTTGGCTGGGAAAAGCTTCCACTGAGCTCATACTGCCCGAAGTGAAAGGCACCGCATGCAGTTCAATCCTAAGAAGCAGAAAGTTTCCATTCCGATGGAGTACAGACCCAGCCGTTAGCCTTTTCTGGGCTTCTGTTTGCACACAGAAAATCCCAAGGTGGTATCAATGTACAGTTCTGGTCAGGCAGATCCAGCAATGTGTACCATAACCAAGTTGTGCAAACTAAGCATAACTCAGTTGCTTTACAAGGGCTTAGAATAAATGCTTTAGCTGGTGCTGTTTCACGGCTGAAATCTGACCCTAACCAGATGTTCTCTTTGCAGGTATGGCAGACATGAAGCTTTTTACAGATATAAGACCAGTACAGGTCGGAGCCTGCCTTTGTTCTATATTTACGACTCCTACCTAACGCCTCCTGAAGCGTGGGCCAATCTGCTCACGCCATCCGGCTCTCACTCAGTGCGCAACACTCCCTATGATGCAGTTTTCATTGCACTGTTGGTGGAGGAGAGCCACAAGCACGACATCCTCACGGCCGGCTACGACGGCATCTATACGTATTTTGCTTCCAATGGCTTCTCATATGGTTCCTCCCACCAGAACTGGAAAGCAATCAAAGCATTCTGTGATGCCAGCAACCTGCTCTTCATCCCCAGCGTGGGGCCAGGCTACATCGATACGAGCATCCGCCCGTGGAATAACCACAACACGCGCAACCGGGTGAACGGCAAATACTATGAAACGGCCCTGCAAGCAGCCCTTGCAGTGCGTCCAGAGATTGTCTCCATCACCTCCTTTAACGAGTGGCATGAGGGCACTCAGATTGAGAAAGCAGTGCCCAAGAAAACCCTGACTCGGCTTTACCTGGACTACACACCCCACCAGCCAGACATGTACCTGGAACTGACCCGCAGGTGGGCAGAGCACTACAACAAGGAGAAGGAGCAGTGGCTCATGTGAACAGTCTCAAGGGCAAGAGGTGGCCCCAGAATAATCTGCTAAAAATGAGAGTGGCAGAACCTGCTCTCTGGGCTGCAGACTCCCAACCAGTTGGGGAAGAATGGGCCCCACTGCCTGGGAGTTCAGAGGTCTTGTGAAAAGAGCATTCTGCTCACTGCAGAAAGCAACAGGCAAAGGAAATCAGGCTGCTGCTTTCATAGCCATCTTTGCTCTTGAGTAAGTCTCTCTCCTTTCCCAGCAAGCAGGAGGACAGCATCATATTCAGCCTCTGCAGAGAATGCCAAACCGAACTGTCCCACTCCGTGTTCTAAAACCAGCTGTTGCTTCACCCAGGGATATTTATTCTTAGCGTGCCACTGCTACTTAAGAGCTACCGAGTGTGCAGACCGATGTTAAGCCTGTTTTACCCACCTTTTTGAAAGACAGAACATGCTATGTATGGTAAACAATCCACAGAGTGTTTAATGTATAGTTTGGGAACCCCATGATCAAAAGTGCACCCAATCTTGCAATAAAATTAAAAGCATATGTTCCTTCAATCCAGGCAGCAACCTAACAGAAAAGGCTAACAACTCAGGAATGCAGGTGGAGAAGGCTTGCCTTATGTGAGCTGCAGCTTGGGCCCGTAGGCTTCAGCTCTGAACCTCTTTCATCATGTCCTACAGATTTTGTGCAGCACTTTGTCCTTGTCTGCAGGAATAATTCACAGCTCTCACTTGGGCATAAGGGCTCGAAAGGTGAGCAAGAACATTGCAGGGCCCGATTCTCACAGTCAGATGAAATTTCTACTGGAGCTCAACAGTGATCGCTTGAGTTACTCACTGATTCATGGGGAGGAGGAAACGGCAGTGTCTTTTCTGCCAGGTACACCACTGGCTTTATTATTAAATTGTGTGCCATCCTCCATCGTTATCTTTTCATCACAGTCCCCTTATGCTCAGGACCAATCCCACCCATTTCCCAGGGGAGAAAAAACTGCACCCTTCCCCATCTCTATATAGGCAGGCAGGCAGAAGCACACAGTGACCACACAGGCTTTTACTTAATGCTCCTGGTCCAGAAGCAGCCTGTGTGATCTGTCGGGGCCAAACTGGACTTCGCTCTCTTTGTTCAGCAGAATCTCAGGACATGAGAGAGCCTGGTGTGCACAAACAGGCAGGTTAGCTGCCCACTTTCTCAGCTACATTTGCTGTCCCCTCCAAATCCAACCCCATCAGCAGGATCTGTCAGTGCTTAGTCCATGCAGTCCAGCTGCTCCAACAACAAAGTGACTTGCTGCTGGAATGTATGAGCTATTCAGATGGAGCGAATGCTTTAGACAAAGAGAACTCTTGAGTCCTCCTTGAAATCCTAAAGTGTGGAAATGCCTTTGAGTCACAAGCAGGACAGGTTTTCAGGCTGTAAGGGACCAGAGGCTTCCTTTGGAGCCAAGGATTAAAGCATTAAACCTTTTTCATTCGTGTACAAATATGCTTGGAAGAACTTTCTGGAGAATCCAACGGTACTTAGCTGCCCAAAGCTGTGCCAGTTTCATAGACTAGGCAGCTCAGATGACAGGCCATGTTTGGTTACCAAGATTTCAATAGTTTGAGTAAGTGCACTGTGGGAAGAAAAGAAAAAGAACAGAAAATTCATAGGAGGCAGGGTTGAAGAAAGAAGCTGCATTCTTCCCATCTTAATCACACTGAGTTAGCATTAACTGTGCCCCAGTTCATGTGAAATGTGGAGGAATAAACAGATATGCACATGGTAATTCCTGGGGGGGCAGGGACACAACCATATCTCCCTCTCTTCAGAGGAAGAGAATGGACTATCCCTCAAATCCTCTTATCTAAGCACGAGGTGGTAGAAGGCTTACCATCCTGGCCGAATAACCTTGAACTTGCCAGGTTTAGAGAGATCAACTACTGTAGAGCCCAGACGGCAGTCTGGACGATGGGAATCTCCAACTGGGCCCCCATCAATGACCAATGACAGGTGAGGCCAGAGATCCTGGAATTCCTAAAGAGAGGAAGTAGATGATCAGCACCCGGAGCATCTGCATGAGAAGACACCACTGAGCAAGATTGGAACAAGGCAGGAGCACAAGGCACAAAAAGCTTTCCTGGTGACAGCTTCCAAAGACTGGCCTTTGCAAAGGGTCCTATTTGGACAGGTGCTGCTGCCCTGTGACTACAGGGTAAAAAGCAGATATGCTACATGTCTCAACTTTTCCTCCTCACACATCTCTCCCACCATGCCCACCAAGGATCTAAAGCGACTCTTACCATGACTGTGAGTGTACTTGCTTCATTACTGACATTTGCACTTGTTAAGGCCAGAGGGGCAGCACAGACTCTGGCCAGCTGTCTGGTGAACCAGTGACTGGGGATGCGAACACCAACTAGCTGTGGCAAAAGTAGAGTTCAATTAATACTGGGCTTTTTCACGCACACACATCCTGCCTTGCTCCTGCATATTAGCACTTTGAGCAGCTTAACAGTGGTAAAACAAAGTAGTCTAACACACATAAGTAAAGCTAATGTGAGACTGCAAATGAGACCGAAAGGGTTATCTTGGGAAAACGGCCATGAGGAACCCTGAGGTCCAAATCCATCTCCATTTCCTTTACACTCCCTTACACTTTGAACATGGCTTGCACTGCGGAGGAAGATAAGCCGCGTCTGCAATGCAGCTAATGTCCTGGTCTTTCTTCTCATCTTGGCTCAAAATGATCCCCCACCCCTGCTGTCAAAACTCCCTCAGCCGAGTCAAATGTCTGCTAGAATGAAGATGTCTTAACAAACAGGGATGCTAGACAGCTGTCCTGCAACAAGAAGTTCCACAGCATAGATACAGTGAGAAAGAGCCTCCCCTGCTCCTGCCAGTAATGCCTCAGCTACCACCAGAAGAAAAAGCTCCTACTCCCCACATGTCTGGCAGCAGGCAAGCCAGCTTTGGGAAAGGTGCTTGCTCCCTTAAGAATCTGTGGCCCGAGCCACTTAGGGCTATAGTTCTGTAAGTCTGGCACACTCACAGCTCAGGGAATTACTGCAGGGAGATTGCTTTCCCCCCTTGGTTCCCCAAACATCTTACAGGCGGAAAATATTGCTTGCTCTAAGCTAAACTGGTCAGGGGAAATAAAAGGAACAGCCATCTTGTTTGAAACATGCAAAGTGAAGAGTTCTTTTTTAATTTCCAGCAACATTCCTAATCAATCTGATTTACCACAGTGAAGAAGCAGTTGCTGTGATGTGCTACCTTAGATTTGGGTGTTCAAACACAACCCTCCTCTTCTTCTAACTGATAGAAAATCACTGTATAGAACCTGGAGCTGAAAAGTAGAGGACTAAACGTGGAATAGTCTTCATACTAAATTTCTTAGAAGATTGATATATAAGGTGAATTTAAGGGGCAGCGGAACAGAGAAGCCATGAGTTCAAAACTCACTGGGGTGAAGGGGTTAAGGTCTTTGTTGAGAGCCTCTGATCGTTCCAGGACCACTGTCACAGGGCCAGGGAGAAGTTCTTGCAGGAGAGTATCAGACACACTGACTTTGCAGTATCTGTAAAATAAGCAAACACACCCTCAAAATCAGAAGGGGGGATGGGGAAAGAATAGCTGCCTTGGAGAAACACTGCACACACACTGTTCTCCTTTGCATTTCCATGCTCCTGTAGTAGCGACTGTGGTCACAGTGACAGCAACTAAATAAGACCACCCAAAGCAAGGACAGGCATTCTTTTAAACAAAGCTAAGGAAACGGGTGCCAGGCAGGCTGTGATAAAGACGAAGTTAACATTTCGTGCATCCCAGGAAGGGGGGTCGAAATCTGCCAGAAAAAAATGGGAGGGCTTGGGGTTGTACAGGTGCTGCAAGGGCAAGAGGCTTCGTGCTGCTTTTCACTCCGGGGCTGTTTTGAACAGCTCGGAGGCATCTGGCAAAAGATAACGCCACGGCCTGGCTCATGGGCCAGGCCGGCTGTTCTCGGCTCGGGAGCCCTAACGTAAAGCAACGTCGATACGTCCGGCGGGCTGGAAGCCGAGCGATGCCAACCCCGGGAAGCCCCCCGCAGCTGGCGCGCACCTGTAGATGTGGTCGAGGTCCGGCAGGCAGACAGCCAGCGGCTTGCTTTCGGGACGCCCCTTCAGCCGGTAGAGCGCCGCGAGCGCCCGCGAGTCCTGCGCCAGGCAGGCCACGCCGTAGACCGTGTCGGTGGGCACGGCCACGAGGCCGCCCGCGCGCAGGGCCGCCGCCGCCGCCGCCACCGCGCGGCCTGCGGGGCGCGCGGGCAAGGGCCAGGGCCAGGGCCGGGCCGGCGGAGGTGGCCCCGGGCAGTCATCCGGAACACGCGGAAGGTGGGGCGGCGGCTCCCGAGC